TAGTCTAGGATTATGCATCTATTTCTTCATTTTTACTTTTTCTATTTGTTTACTCATTAAATGTATAACTTAATAAAAAATACATGAATCAAAAAAAACATAACTAGAGTCATGAAGTCCATAATACCTGTTTGTAGAACATTTCCCCTAGAAATTAGATCTATTTTTTGAAATTATCTCAGTATTTAAAATAGCGATTAGATACATATTAATCTCATGTTCATTATCAGGCCCTGCTAGCCCTATTTGACTATATTTCCTACTTCTTAATAATAGTCCTACCATTTTTCAGTTCTATCTCAGTCTGTCTGTTGTTCGTATACAGAAATGCTACAGATTTCTGTATATTGATTTTGTATCCTGCAACCTTACTGTATTCGTGTATTACTTCCAGAAATTTTTTCATGGAAACCATTGGGTCCTCTATGTACATAATCATGTTCTCTGTGAATAGAGAGAGTTTCACCTCTTCTTTTCCTGTTTGAATGCCTTTTATTTTTTCCTCTTTTCTGATTGTGTTGGCGGGGACTTTCAGTACTACCTTGAAAACGAGTGGAGACAGTGGGCATCCTTGTCTTGTACCCGCTTTTACTGGGAAAGCTTTCAGCTTTTCTCCATTCAGGATGATGTTCGCTATGAGTTTTTTCATAGATGGCTTTTATTGAGAAGTGAACATCCTATGCTGATTTTACTGAGAGTCTTATGAAGGGATGTTGTATCTTATCAAATGCTCTTTCTACATCAATTGAAATGACCATATGGTTTTTATCTTTCTTCCTGTTAATATGGTGTATTACATTTATGGTTTTGTGTACATTCAACCAACCTTACATTTTTGGAATAAAGACATGATCATGATGTATAATCTTTTTTATAAGTTGTTGGATACGATTTGCTAGTATCTTGTTGAGAATCTTTGAGCCTATATTCATCAGGGATATTGGTCTATAGTTTTCCTTCCTTGTCCTGTCCTTATCTGTTTTAAGGATAAGGGTGATAGAGGCTTCATAGAATGAATTAGGGAGAGATTCACCCTTTTGGGGCTTTAGAAATAACTTAAGCAGAATGGGGGGTTAACTATTCTTTGAAATTTTTATACAATTCAGAGGTGAAGTCATCAGGGCCAGGGCTTTTCATTGTTGGAAGATTATTTATTACTGATTCAATCTCCTATCTTGCTATAGGCCTATTCAGGCTTTCTAAATCCTCCTGGCTCAATCTTAGAAGATTATATGTGTCCAGGAATTTGTTCATCTCATCCAGATTGTCTTGTTTCTTGGCATAAAGTTGTTCATAGTATCCTCTAATGACGTTTTGTATTTCTCCTTTGTCTGTTGTTATATTGCCTGTTTCATTGCAGATTTGATTCGCCTGGTTCCTTTCTCTCTTCTTAATAAGTCTTGCTAGTGGTTAATCAATTTTGTTAATCTTTTCAAAGAACCAGCTTTTACTTTAACTTATTTTCTATATAGTTTGTTTATTTCAGTTATTTCTGCTCGTATCTTTATTATTTCCTTTCTCCTGGAGTTTTTTGGATGTTTTTTGCTGTTGCTTTTCCAATTATCTAAGACATGATGTTATGTGATCAATTTACCTTCTTTCTGTCTTCTTCTTATGTGCACTAATTGCTATGAACTTCCCT